GGCCTCTAAAATCGACAGAAAGTTTTTTCATTGGTCATTTTACCAATTTCAACAAACAAATTATATGAATATAAACTAAAAATGTCCATCTTTTAATATTGGGAAGGCTTCCAAAACCGGAGAGTTTTTCTATTGGTCATTTTAACAATTTCAACAAACAAATTATATGAATATAAACTAAAAAATTTTGTCTTCTAATATTTGGGAGTTTTTCAAAACTGACGGAGAATTTTTTCATTGATCATTTAACAAATAAATATTTTAACATAATCCTATCAAAGTAACAAAACAAGTGGCAAAGCAACATACTACCTCCAAAAGATAATAAAATAAGATAGCAACAGTAACCACATGATAACAATAAAATAGCAACAACAATAATAATAATATAAAATTAAGGCGTATACATATTTGATGACAAAAGAAATAATAGCATAGAAAACTAACAATGAACCGAACAAAGTTAAACAATAATAAATCTAACATCGCTAACGAGAAAAAAATCCATTAACAGAGAAGACATCTAAACACACAAAATTCTATGCATATTTTATAACAAATAAAATAAACTAGTAATAATAAAAAGACTTAATAAATGACAATGTCAGTAAACAGAGCAAAGGGTCAAAAATGAAGTATATTTTAACGGAGAGAAAGGAACAGAGGACCTGATTCGTTGATGTGTATGGGTGAGCTATTGGCAGACCTCAACGTTGATTGTTAGCTGCTGTTTGCTGTTGCAGGCTGCCTGGAAGCTGGCCACTGCTGCTGGTTGTTGCAACTCACCGTCGCTGTCCCTGAAAAAGAAGAAGAGAACAGGGGAAGGAGAAAGGGGGAGAAATGGGGGGAAGAGAGGAGAGGGGGCGGCTGCCGGAGATGGAGGGAGAGAAGAAGATTGGAGAGTAGTAATCATAAGAAATAGAGAACGATAGAGAGGCCACTGGGTCTCGTAGAATTTTGTGGGTTTCGCTGGAGAATCGATGGAAACGCTGGAGAATGGAGAAACGAAGGTAGGGTTCTACGCTTTGTCGCTTGAGCTTCGAGCTCGCGGTGGTCGATTTTGGATCTGAGCTTTGCAGGAGCTAGCATGTTTCGCCGGAGAATATGAATGGTGGCTCAATACTCCGATAATAACTTCGCCATTAATGGCTTCAAGCAATGGTCACTGGTGGAATGCTTGATCTTCAAGCCAGATTTGCTCTCTGGAGATGGAGTTTTCATGGTTCGCCGTAGATGGAGTTTTCTTGTTGTTTCTATGGGTATTGTTTGGTCATGAAAACTAATGGGTTTGGGTTTGATAGTACCGAAAAGGGAGGGAAACGGTGTCTGACTTGCTGCGTTATTTATTGTTTCGAGTCGGTTCACTGGCATTTGTGGACTGCCTAGAAGAAAAAGGAAGATAGGTCGTTGGGTGGTCCAAAAAATTATAGGCTTAGTATCTAAAATTATTATAATAAAAAATCTAATTTCTTTTTTATTTGTATTTGACTAAATTTTAGACTGTGCTAAATTCACATGAATACTAATAAATGTAACAAACAAAAATGAAATTTTAAAATAATATAATGAACGTAACTAATGACATGTGAAATGCAATTTTAAAAAAATAACTAACAAAAATTTTAAATTTTGATAAATGAATATAGTTATCGATAAACTTCCTTAAACTATAAAAAAAATTATTTTAAGCTATTAAATAAATAAAATTTCAAAATCACGAAATTTTAAAATGTTAGACCATAATTGGGTGTCAACAACCCACACCTAAATTTTTAGTGTTTTGAAACGTGACACCCGATTCAATATACATGTGTGTCGAAACGTGATATTCGATCGAGAATATATGTGTCGAAATGTGACACCAAATTCAATATATATATTGAAACATGACACTCGATTCAGTTAGTACAACCACAGTCACAATCACACCCACAACGCACGGTACTTATAGTCATACAATCAAGTATCATGTTCATGACATGTATTATTCACATATAATCATTTCATTATTTATGATCCACATTCTTTATTCATATACATGCACGCAGACAATGAAGCAATTTACCTGCACATCACACAACACGAAATCAAACCATCATCTAATCCTTGTTTGTAGGACAAGGTTGTTCCCCACGGTTCACGTCATCCTTAGCAACTAGAGTTCATGTACAGTTATCCATTTTTCTATGCTCGAAGGTCTAAATATGGATTTTATTGTTAATTAACATTATACTACGCAGTGAGCATAAATTTACGACTATTCAATTGAGTAAGCCTAGCATATTTGGACGTCAAGCAGCTGCAAAGGTATTGTAGCTTCAATCTTGGCTTTCGGACAACGAGACGGTGAATTTGATCGAAATTCAGCAAGTTTTCATCATCTTTGCACTAGAAATCTCTTCTTTTTTCCTTCTCAAGCCTAGAGCAGCCTTTTGAGGTTTCTGGAGTGATACTCATCTCTTTTTTGGCACTTGGTGAAAAAGAGAAAAATAAGATTTTGCATCATTTAAGTTCTGACCCCCACCCCCGACCATCTTGCTCTAGAGCTACTTGTTCCTCTGGAGCACCACCGCCTTATCGGCATAATCCCACTCTGTTAGGAGAGTGGAGTCCAGTTATTATCAATGTTTTGCTCTCCATGAATAACGACGTTTGGGATTATTATAAAATAAAACTTTAAATCAACAATTTTATATACAAAATAGTATAAATATGATTATTTAATTTGCTATTGGGTTATCGATTAACCCATTAAGAAAAAACATCAAACCGTTAAGAATCGATAACCCAATAACAAAAAAAATTAAAATTGTTATAAAAATGTTAAATCAATAATTCATTATTGATAAATCAATAACTTTTTTCTTGCTCGATTTTGGTTTGATTTTAAATAACCCTACTATCAACAAATGAATGAAAGAAAAGAAGTTAAGAAGATGATCGAGAAAAGATGAAAAATTATTTACATTTGTTCTGATACCATGAAAGATATCATAGTTACCTTAAAGAAAAAAATTATTTTTTTATGTAAATTATGTTCTGATAGAATCTATACAATCAAATGCATTTTTATATAAAAATTCTATAGACAAAAATGTAATATAAATATTGTAACAAATTTACATCTTATAAAAAATTTAAAAATAATTTATCTACAATGTGTCATTTATCATGTGAGGAGGTATACACCAAATATTTCGTGAGGATGCGGATGATTGAAATTTTTTCATGTTTTATCAATCAACTCACACAAACATATTATAAATAGCATCAAGTTCTTTTCTTTATTCATTTTCTGATTGCGTAACTTAGCATCACATTTACATTCACAACCACAAGTAGTGAAATTGTTCAAAACATTTAATTTTATAATTTCTTTAGCTTGTTAAAATAATTAGGTATATAGATTGTTCTTGTGTCATGTAGCTCATATCTCTTTACAATTGAAATTTCTTATATCAAGGGGATGCTTAGATCTGAAACACTGAGGTAATAGATTCTACTTTTAGATATATTTCTTACACATTATTTTACGGATCTGAAACTCTGATGTAGTAGATCCAATTTTTATATATCTTTTAGGCATCATTTCACATATCTGAAATGATGAGACAGTAGATCATATTTTTATATATCATTCTTAGACATTATTTCATAGATCTGAAGCAGAAAAATAGTAAATTCTTTTTATATATATATTTTCATAGACATCATTTCATAGATCTGAGGCTCTAAAAATGTAGATCTTTGTTTTTTCTTATATATTTTTGTACATCATTTCACAAATTTGAAGTAGTGAGGGAGTAGATCCTACTTTTATATATCTTTCTTAGACATGATTTCATAGATCCAAAGCAAGAAAATAATAGATTTTACTTGTATGTTTTTCTTAGACACCATTTCACAGATCTGAAGCAGTAAGACGGTAGATCTTACTTTATTATATACTTCTAAGACATTATTTTACAGATTTGAAGTAGAGACAGTGCATCTTAGCATTATAAATCTTCCTGAGACATCATCATAGATCTAAAGCGGTAAGATGATAGATTCTAATTTTATATACTTGTTTTTGGAAGCTATTTCATAGATCTGAAGCAGTGATACAATAGATTTTACTTTTAAATATCTTCCTTAAACATCATTTCACAGATCTGAAGTAGTGTACAGTATATTCTACTTTTATATATTTTGCTTAAACTTTACTTCACAGATTTGAAGATGTGAGGCAGTAGATCCTATTTCTAAAAAATTTCTATCGAAAGAAAATCAAGCAGTGATAATGTCGATGCATCTTCTCAAAGGTTAGTCTTCTTACGGAATAATTATCTTATCATTAATTAAATTTTTTTTATTGAAAATCAATTTAAATTTTCTATTTGAATTTTGTTGTTAAATTTATCAAAAGTGATGTTATTTTCATGTGAATAAGATATATTTTTCTTAAACTTTACTTCACAGATCTGAAGATGTGAGGCAGTAGATCCTATTTCCAAAAATATTTTATCGAAAGAAAATCAAGCAGTGACTATGTCGTAGCATCTTCTCAAAGGTGAGTCTTCTTACGAAATAATTATCTTTTCATTAATTAAATTTTTTTATTTAAAATCAAATCAAATTTTTTATTTGAATTTTGTTGTTAGATTTATCATTTTTTATGTTATTTTCATGTGAATAATATATGTTAAATAGAAAATATAATTAGAATTAATGATTTTCTCACCCTAAAGCTCAATTGAAAAGTTTTATTTCATTTTTTACTTCTATGAAGAAATGATTGAAAAGAAAGTAATACAGAAGAGAATCGAGAAAAGATGAATGGACTTTTTTGAATTTGTTCAGATACCATGAAAGATACTAGAATCTACGAGAAACAAATTTGTAAAAGAATTTTGTATTTTTGATGAAATCTACAGAATGAAATGTATTTCTATACAAAAATGTTATGGACTTAGATATTAAAAATAATAATCCACAAGTAATCTAAAAATAATCTCATCAATAAAGTGTTATTTATAATGTGAAGAGATGTTCACTAAATTTATGTTGAGAATCTTAAAACTGATTTTTTTTTAATATTTTCTCAATCAACTCACGAATGCCTATTAAAATTGTATTAACATCTTGTCTTCATTTATTTTATGATTGTATACCTTAGGATCACATTTACATTAATAATCACAAGTCGTGAAGATGTACAATAACTTAATTAGATTTCATAATTTGTTTAGCTAATTAAATAACTAGATATATCATTTGTTTCTTCTGTCATGTTGTTTAGGCCCCTTCGCAATTGAAAACATTTCATACATTCTATAAATTTGAAGCAGTGATCAAATAGAACATCACATTTTTGTAGATTTTCTTGTGAAGAGATTTTATCGATCAACCGATGATCATGTCATTGCATCTTTATCGTTATTCAAACAAAGGTGAGTCCTTTATAAAATAGTTATCTTATTATTAATTTAAAAAAGAATTTAGTTGACACTGATTATAATTCATATCTTTCTATATCCATAAAATATGATATTAATGAGGTTGTTTTCATGTTGAATCTAACTATGCTAAACTGTAAAATCATTAAAATCGATTACTTTAGTAATTTTTTCTCTGAAAATTTCAATTGACAGTTTTAGTGACATTTCTCGTTACTATGATGAAATTAATAAGAGAATTGTCGAGAATAAAATCGAGAGAAGATAGAAGCATTTTTCTTTAAATTTGCTTTGATATTATGAAAGACGTAGTAAAACTTTTGGATAAAAAATTTGTAAAAAAATTATGTATATTTTTTCTGATAAAATCTGTAAAGTGATATGCATTTTCACATATGAACGCTATGAAGTAAAATATAAAAGGAAAAATTTTGTAGCAAATTTACAGCTTATAAAAATAATCTCATCTACAAAATACTTGAATAACAAATTTGTGAAAAACTCATGTATATCTTTTTTGATAAAATTTGTACAATTAAATGCATTTTTACTTAGAGATTCTATTAAGAAGAAATTTTTCATAACAAAATTTGCAAGTCATGAACAACCTAAAATAATTTTATAGTTCATGTAGGCCGGATCATAGCGTAGATAAATGCTATCCGACTTGAATGATCGAGAATTTTGCTTAGAGTTTACAAAATTCTTAAATAACTAATTTGTAAAAAGTTATATATTTTTTCTCTGATAAAATTTGTATAAGGAAACATGTTTTTATATATGAATTATATTGAACTACAATTTAAAAAGAAAAACTTTATAATAAATTTACAATCTAATCTACAAAGTGTCTTCTATCATATGCGAATATATTCATTAGATTTGTAGTGACAATGCTGAAAATTGAAGTTCCTTCGTATTTTTGTCAATAATAGGGAGTAAAACTTTGGAGTAAATGAGGGAAAAAAAGACTCAACTGAGGTAAGTCTCTTTTTTTTTAATCATATTTGAATATATTTTTTTATTTGACTATATTTTATTTCTAAGCCTGTGTTAAATTGATTGCAAATACAAAAAGAAATTCAATCTTCAGCACTAACTTGAAATGTATGAATTTTACATAATAATGATAATAAGTGAAGGAGTAAAGTTTTGAAGTATAGCAGAAACAATTATTCATTCAATCAGGATAGGTGGAAAACACATTTAAATAATGTTTAGTTAAAAAAAAATCTCTAAATAGCAATAGCTTCTTTAAAAAACCTAATTAATTTGAATGTCATAAATTGTTAAAAACAAAGTAAAACTATACACACACATTGAATAATGAAGGTAGTTATAAAAAGAATCCCAACAACCATCAAAAGGTATTGGAGCTGAAAAGATCAATGCATAACAAAAAAAAAATATTTTAGGTATGAATTTTAAAATTAAAAAAAAATTGTTTAATTTCTTAAAGGATACATTATATTTTATTTAAGTAGACAGAGTGAGATCATATATAGAAGCCATTTAGGGTACAAATATCGTGGGATCCAACTCCTCTTCATTTCTCTTCTCTCCATTGTTCCTAAGTTTTAGTTTGGATTGAAGACACATGTCCGAGTATAGAATTAATTATTGAGATCTAATTGATTAAAATAAAGTTGTAACAATAGTTATTTCTTCTTAAATATTTTTACTATCCATTATATTTTTCTTAAATATATTAAAAACTTTTCTTTACTGAGTGCATACATATTTAAAACTTTACTAAATATTTCTAGTTTTTTTGGGAAAAAATTATAGTACAATTAAACTTTTTATTATTCTAATAAAGTATTAAGAGCTACAACATCTATTAGAGCAATATGGACTCCATTTAGGAAGTAAAAAATAATTTAAAGTTAAGTGACAAAATTTATTTTACTCCAAAAATTGAAATAAAAAAACATTTGATCACAATTTTTAATTTTTAATTTTTAATTTGACAAATATTATTTGAGAAAACGATAAGGAAAAAAGTAAAAATCAGCAAAAAATTACTCAAAGTAATTAAGAAAAGAAATTCTTTTAAATACATTTATGATGAATATAATATAATGTAAATCTAGAATTGTTGAATTGCAATAATATTTAAGAAGTAAATATACGAAAGTAAATTACTATGATTAGAACGTTGTTTTAATCAATTAGATTTCAACAAATAGTTCTAAACTATGACATATATCACTAATTTAAACTAGAACTTGGGAAAATGATAAGGAGCCGCATCCTTATTCTTACTATTAAATAATTACTTAAAATAGAATTAGTCAAATATAAAATCTCATTAATAAAGTTAATTAGTAGCAAAATAAGTGTACTATGTCAATCGATAACAAATAATATAAAATGAAGAAAATACATAATACATAATAATAAAGTTTTGAATGGTACTAATAAGCCAAAGCCTCTTTTAGCCTCTTCTGCTATTAATTAACTTTATTAATGAGATTTAATATTTGACTAATTCTATTTTGTATAGTTATTTAATAGTAAAAATAATATTATAAATAATAATGTAAAACGATCTTAATTTGCTAAAATAAGTAAATAAGATAAAACTATATTTTAGATTAGGGGTCAAATAAAATAAAATCGAAGAAGTATATGGATCATTATTTTCTTTAATTTTATAATAATGATATTTAAACTTGCGTGGTTCCACTGACTAAACTTGACAACTTTTTGGAGTAAATTATACATTAATTTATTTATTTATTTTTCAAAATTTCTCTTTATTTTTTCATCCCGCTTCTAGAAAAAGTAATTGTGATTCTCCACTTAATTTCACAATAGTTGAATACAGAATATACTCTTGGCTACATCAAAAATATACTTGGCAACAATGAATAAATGATGATTAATTATCATTAAATATGCATATTTAATGACATTTATATTCTCTATATAAATGTCTCTAAAGTCTATAGCAATATATGATTAAATAACATTTAATTAATATCAATAAAAATTTTAATATTTTTTGTTAATGTGCATATTTATTATCGTTAAAAGATATTTTTATGATAAAGTTTGTTCACAATTAAAAGTTTGCAATTATTTGTAGTTATATATACTTATCGTTAAAACAAAGTGTTGCTCAGCTCTCAAAGATATATAATAAAAAAAGAATAATTTATTTAGTAAATTAAATCTTGTATTGTTGTTTTATTATTATTTAAAGAAGAATGAAAGAAGGGTTTCTTTGATTACTTTTTTCTTTTTTTCTCCGAAAGAAAGTCCTTTTAAGGAAATAGTTAAATGATTTTCTAATTTTTGTGGGATTGATTTTTTTGAAAAAAGAGAGTAACTTAAAGACATTCAGTTACGCCAAAATTAGGAATAAGAAAATGTTTATAACAAGATTGATTTATACACCAAAATTCATGGAGGTCATTTAAATTTTTTTTTTTTATATTTATATGTGAGCTGAATAACAAATCAAAACTGATTTGTTATTTATTTGTATATACTTTGATCAAAGAGGCTTATGATTTTGGTGATGTTTCTCATCATTTTATTTTTTTAATGTGCAATGAGTGATATTAAATAAAGTATAAATTGAAATTTATTCATTATCACTCATTACGCTATTTAAAAAAATAATACACTATAAAAATTATGGGCCTCTTTGGTCAAAATAAACACATAAATAAAGTGAATAAAACCTCGAAACAATCATAACAGAACAAATTAAGGGAGTTTGAAAAAATAACTTTAGCCATTACTTTTTATATGACGTATTGAAACAGAATTCAGACGTTATAAATTTTATCAGATTAGAAATATATGTGTTGCCTAATAGGTATTTATCACAAGTAACTTGTAAGTGTATATTTGTCCTCTTCATTATTTTGTGTTTTCAAGGTGTCTAAATAAGTGATAATGAATAAAACAAAAAAAATAAATTCATTATCACTCATTATGCTATTTAAAAAAATTAAAAAACCTACCAAAATTACGGTTTGTCAAAGTAAACACGGAAATAAAGTGAGCAAAACCTCAAAACAAGATCGCAAAAGGACAAATTAAGGGAGTTTCAAAAAATAACTTTAGCGATTACTTTTTTTTATAACGTAACTTATAAATGTATAATTGTCCTTTTCAAAATATATATGGACATAAAACTCAAGAGAGTAGTATCGAGGACAAAAGGCAATAAAACTTCTCCATTATTTAAGCTAATTTTGGTGCAATTCAATGCCTTAAAGTTTCTCTTTTTTATCACATAAATGATAAACCAATCCTAGCTTAGCACAAAAATTAGAAAACCATTTTCTTCTTTCATGTTAAAGATTTTAATTTTGAAAAAAAAAATTGGCCAAAAAATTTGATTAAAATGATATTTTTTTCTATGTTATTTCATCTTTAGTTTTTCCCCCTCTTTTTTCTCCCTATAAGATCTCTTTCTAGTTATGAATAAGTTAAATATCGTTACAAACATCTCTTTCTAGTTATGAATAAGTTAAATATCGTTACAAACATTTTATCATTAATTTCAGCAGCAATTTTGGTCTTTTTGTAGATGTTGTGTGAACTAAAAATGATAAAAAATTAAAGGACAGCATTTTAACTATTTCTTTAAAAGGACTTTCTTTTGGAAAAAAAAGAAAAAGTATATCAAAGAAACCCTTCTTTCATTCTTCTTTATATAAAAGTAACATGCAATTTTTATAGCAACAACTAAATTAAATTAAATTCTTATAAACCTCAAGAATTTACTCAAAAAAGTAGAGTCCAATCCTTGCAAGACTCCATCGTAAGAATAAAAGAAAAAGAAAAAAAATGTGAATAGTTGGATGAAAAATGTGAATAAAAATGATTTGGAAATAACTAATTTATATGTTAGTGCTCATACAAGTCCCCACATTTTACCAACATGGTTTGTGGTGTACTTGTGAGAGTGTTTTACCTTTAATCTATCCATCTCTAAATAAGCTTTGCAATGCTAAATCTGAATATGTTTAGTCAAAGCTCTAACGTGAACTTCAGATATGGATATGAAAAAAAAAGTCTCCACATTTTCCTCCACTACTACATTATTGGCGTGTGTCAAGCACAATCATCTACTTGTTCTTCACTCTTCTTCTACTATAAATTAGTTATTTCCAATTCATTTTTATTCACATTTTCATCCAAAAAAAAACAACAACTACGGTATCAAATGAAGAAAGTAATAACACTCAACAAGAATCAAAGTTCACTCTCTCTATGAATCCTGATATGGAGCAACAACAAATAAGCCTAGATCATCAACAAGTTGAAGAAAAAGAGTTTGATTACTCAAAACGTTCTCAGTGGCTCCGAGCAGCTGTGCTCGGAGCCAATGATGGGTTGGTTTCAACCGCATCATTAATTATGGGAATTAGTGCTGTCAAAAAGGACATCAAAGTCGTGATCCTTACTGTATTCGCCGGCCTAGTGGCCGGCGCATGTTCTATGGCTATAGGAGAATTTGTCTCCGTTTATTCTCAGCTCGATATTGAAATTGCTCAAATGAAGAGAGACAATAAGAGACGAAATAAAATCCAAGGAGATCACGAGGACGAGGAAGAAAAAAATGTCTTGCCTAATCCAGCACAAGCAGCAGCAGCATCAGCTCTAGCATTTTCAGTAGGTGCAATTGTGCCATTACTGGCTGCATCTTTTATAAGAGATTATAAAGTGAGAATTGGAGCTGTTGTTGCTGCTGTCACCATAGCTTTAATGGTGTTTGCATGATTAGGTGCTGTGTTGGGAAAAGCACCAGCAATCAAGTCATCTGCTAGGGTTTTGTTTGGAGGTTGGTTGGCCATGGCTATAACTTATGGCTTGACTAAATTGATTGGTTCTAGTGGTCTTTAACTGGAATTAGCTACCAAATTATTCATAGTTTTTTGATAATCTATTGCTAAATAATTTTAGCCAGTGAATTTTATCATTAAGCTATTGAGTTTGTGTATCGCTAAATCGTATTTTATCTAGTTATATATGCTACTAAATATTAATTGTGGGATAATGCCATAATAATACCTTTTTTTGTGTTTAGAATTTGTTATTATGTGTAGCTAGGATATATATATAGGTCCCTATGTATTATAATATTTGTATGTATGCATGTATCATTATATAATATGATAATATATATTAATTTCCATCCTTAAAAATCTCTGTTTCGTTCTTCTTCTTCTCCTTCTTTTTTGATGATCATCAATTCATCCTATTATAAGGCTAATAATTAGTTCTATAAAAACTTGGGATTTCTATCAAAGAAAAATATAACTTGGGGATTTGTTTCGTTCTTTTTTCTTCTTCTTCTTTTGGGAAAAAAAGTTTTTTTGGCCAGAAATTTTGGTGATACTTTTCTATGTTATTTCACCTTTTTAAATATATTTATCCTTTAACACTTACTATGTTTTTTTTAATTCATGTGTGATTGTGTGTAGTGCTGTTTAAAATCATTAGCTTGACATGAAAGGTATTAATATGAATTAGCAACTTACTAGCATAAAGTTACTCTCTTTTCCCTATTTTCATTATTTCTTTTTTAGACCTTTTTTTTTAGCCGACCACGGAGTCTATTAGAACAGTTACTTTATTTTTGAAGTAAAGATCATGTTAATGTACACTCTATCTTTTAGGTCCTCTAAATCTCTTTATGAAAATTACAATGAATATGTTTGTTTATATCCATATTCGATGTGTGTAATACTATTTAAAATCGTTAATATAGACTTATTATAAGCTTTAGGAAGAGCTTGCATTATCCTTCTTCCATCCCAACATTATTATTAATTAGACTGAGCTAAAAATGTTTATATTTAAACTCAGCGTTTTTCTTTCTTTTTTTCTTTTTTCTGATAATGGAGACTTGCAAGGATTGGACTCTTCTTTTAGGAGTAAAATAATTAAGGTGTATAAGAATTTAATTTAATGTAATTGTTGCTATAAAACAAAACATAAGCTTTTGTTTTTGCATGTTACTTTATTTAAAGAAGAGACGGATAGATTCAAGGGAAAACTAAGATAAATGGGTTATAAAATTTAAAACAAATATAAATTCATAAATCCAAATTCAAAAGTAATTTCTGAATGTTATGAATAATTACAACTCATACCTTATGCAATAAGACTGATAATTTTCGCTTAATTGATACTGAATTAATATCCTATATTGTATTGGTATCATTAAGGTTGATAATTTTTGCTTAACTTATACTAAATAAGTATCATATATTATACCGGTA